GTCTACAGTGTGAGCTAAAAGGAACCCAAATATCTAAACAACATGTAAACGCTATATATGTAGCACAGGAGGAAAGAAAGAAGAGTCAGCTTCTTTTAAAATTGAGAAATAATAAAACACATTTGAAAGCAGCATGATTCCTTCTGCTAACATGAAGATCACGTTCAGCTTAACAACAAATCACCTACTCTGCCATGAAGTGGAAACAACCTTTTTTGGAACACACTCTGGTTTTATTTTAAGGGTCAAAGCTTCTGCTCATTGTCACACAGCAGCAACATACAATACTTGAGCATGTTCTGCAGCATAAAAGGCATTTGCAGAGATCTGTAATGGACTGAGTTGTGCAGAAAGCACATTTCCAGGTGTTTCACCACAGAATGCTGGAAGAAACCACAGTGCATTCCTTACAGGGAGAGTGAGGCACCTACCCTCTGGTCTCCGCTCATGCAAAACCACCAGTAACTGGCCCAAACCTGGCAAGACTTCCAGTGAGACATGCTTATGCTTTTGGCAGAAGAGCGCTGACCACTTTCAGCATCAGCATCCTCTGCCAGCTGGCCAAAGAGTACATAGATGCAAGGGAAGCAAATTATCTGCCCACTGGCAAAAAGAAATGCTGAGCAGCATCTAAGGAAAAAGTGTGTGTGTGTGCAAGTGGGTATGCATGTGAGTGAGTGTGTGTATATGTGCTCCTGTGCTTTGGGAAATGGACTGATACAGGTACACTGGAAAAATGGTCTGCTACTAACCCCATGGTATCATTTTCTGCAACATTCTTACAAGAACAAATAGGCTTTTTTTCCATTAAATTCTTCCAAGTCAGATTTTATAGATGAAATCTAAGGACTGCAAGGATGCCAAAGACAAATTTTCTAATAAAGTCTGAAATCAGATCCCCTCAAGATAAGATCTCTTAGACAATTTTAGCAACTTAAGCCTGTCATTGTATCTACCCCCTTTTTTTGGTCTCTATAAGAAAAAGTGTCTGTGGAAAACACACTACACATCAACATCTGGTAAAATATAAAAAAAAAACTTCTGGGTTCAGAAGATATATAAGAAATGACTCAGAAAAAAAATTAACAAGACAAGAATTTGTAACTGACAGGTTCGGTTTAGCTGAGAGAGGGAATCTGCCTGTAGATTAATTAGATTCTGCAATCACAGCCTCTTTCCACCCGTACACATCCCACCACTATCATTACATGATCAACAGATTTTAATGAAAACTAATGCTTTCTTTTGAGAAATTCCACGGGGACTGTGTATAAGACTGAGGCTACTTTTCTAAATATTTCTTGAAAATTGTACATAACGCAAGTGCACATTTGTTGGCTGTAAAGGTGTACAACAGCAATTTTTTGCAATGACAGTGCAGAGAGGGAATATGAGATCTGTGTGCTAATGAGCTGACACTGCAGAGGCTAGAGCAGTGTTAGTACAGTGCACTACAAGTGCAGAGCAGGAAGACGTATGTGGATTATTTCTAGGGAATATGATCTACAGAACAGCACACAAAATTCAACATTAATACTAACATCCTCCATCAGAGGTTAGAAGAAAAGCACAAAAGACCCTTCAGTGATTAATTTATACATTTGAGTTGTTGTATCCATATGATTCTGAAAAAAAAAACAGCTCACTCTACATGAGCTTTTCTAAAGAAAATATAACATCCATGTTTTACTCAATCTTACTCATTCACAGGTCAAGTTAACTTTCTTCCTTTCTGGTTTTTCTAATGGTAAAGAAGCAGCATATTTAAAAAGATGTAATAAATCCCCCCAGAGCCAATTGATAAACTCCAATTTACCATAATTACACTGGAATTTTCACTTATGTTTGCATTTGCTGTCTGATAAGATATCATACAGCTAAATAAATAAGTGGGCAGATAAATATAGAGTGGATGAACACTGCACACATACATGTAAATTCAGCACACAGAGAGGGCCTCAGTGCCAGCAGGGAATACATGTACATGAATCAGATTATGTATCATTTAACCGAAAAAGGAATGAGGGAGGGGTTTAGGGCAGGAATTTTCTTCTGCTTCTAAACGAGTTTGTTCCCACGCTGGGATATTGCCAAGTCAGCCCTATCAGAGGTGGGCTTTTTATCTCTGGCTCACAAGGATATTTCAGAAGAGATCTTTTTCTCCTGCCTCTGGAATGCACCATATTGCAGCAAGTGGGATGTGCAGCTGTACGCTAAGAACATAAGTCTTTCCTGAGCAGAGCCCCCCCCC